AGGGTATCTCCAGGCTTGTTAGAGTGTATGCAATCTATGGGTAAATACACACATACGTATCATATACTATGTATATATATATATATAATATATATATAATATATATTCTCAGAGATTGTTTACACTCTAGCAAACCTGGAATTAGCCTGCTGAACCCGAAAACTGCACCAGGCCATTACAGCAGAGCAACCCCACATGCAAGCATATCGACGCCTCCCCAGGAATGCATGCGCTAACAATATCTTAAATTGTTAAATATTTGATTGTGTTTCACCACCTAAGTTACCCACAAACATGGATAAATCCGCGTGACGGTGAGTGTAACGGAGCGCGAGGGGCTCCATGGATGAAAGTGGCGAAATTTCGGTAACCCAAGACTGCAGATAGCGAAGAAATGAACGTTTCCAGTATAAAAATTGTTATATTTGCAGTGTATTTTTGTTCTTATTACTCCAAATAGATTTGTTTCAAGCACGAAGATTCAGATCTTTGGCTCAGCACAGACAAGGCTGTAGAAGCCTGTTCACTTGCATTTTCCTAGGCATAGGTAGCAGCAGTCTGGTAGCCTGCGACAGAGGGTGATTTTTAGTGGGCGTATTCGTTCCTTCTCCTTTATTCCCTGAATTAACACAATTTTATGTAGACTTTGGGCCTATACAAACATTCATTGGCCTTCGCATCTATTCCTGATTACTCCAGCACGCCCGCACGCGGCNTTTGGGCCTATACAAACATTCATTGGCCTTCGCATCTATTCCTGATTACTCCAGCACGCCCGCACGCGGCGGCATCGAACTGGAGGATCCGTAACGAATGATACGTTTTCTGCCTGTTTGTATAGGCTCTTCCCCCACAGTACCTTTGTATTATTTTGTGGACACTGTCTCAGTCCCATACGCTGGCGTATTTATTTCAGGGCACCTGCGGCCCTGCTGCCACCTGTCGAGGTAAAAAATCCCCTTCGATTTGTGCAGTTCTTGCCCCCGACTATGGCGATATCGGCGGAAAGTTTGGCTGGAGGTAATCTTACAGAAAATTTCGAGTTAGGTGTTGATGGGAAACCCGGTTCAACGGCTGATACAGCTCAGGCTGCAGATGCATCTGTGTCCCCTGCAACGAAAGACGTTAACGAGGATGGCGCTCGAGATATCCCCGCGTTAGACCAAATACAGGAACCCGTTAGGAGAAGAAATGGGTGGGGCAAGAAATTGTTTGCTTTCTTTGTTCTTACTGCACTGGCTGCTCCTGTGGTGGCTTCTGCTCTTGTTGCACGGAGCCCACGCCTTGGTGGCGAGGCAGAGAAACCTAAAATTGAATACCCGACATCAACAAACGATAAAAGCCTGAAGAAAACCTTGCAACAGGTAGAGAAGAGTGCGAAAGAGTTGCTGAACAAGTGGAACTCGTCCTCTGAACNAAGAAAACCTTGCAACAGGTAGAGAAGAGTGCGAAAGAGTTGCTGAACAAGTGGAACTCGTCCTCTGAACAAGTTCGTGAAGCTTTCATGAAGTTTTATACTCCAATGCTCCTAGTGGAAACTTTCACTGAGGAAAAGAATATTTTCTGGTGTAAGAAGTATTCGGATGCATCAAAAACCCAGCCTCTTCCTGAGAAAACAGCTAGTAAAGAAGAACGAGAGGATTTTGCGGTGCGAAATATGCTGCTTGTCACGGTCTTTGAGGCAGCTGAAACTCGCCTAGAGTTTTTGAATCGTATTGAGGAACTTTCGAAGAAACACCAAATTGAATCAGTTTTCTCTCTAGAAGTGGAACGTCCACTACCTCAACCAACTGTAGAGGACGGACGAGATGCTTTCTCTTTTGAAAGTTTCACTAGAAGGCTAGAAAAGCTGGGCGTTCAGGGCGTGGCGCAGGAAGGTGATTCACAAGGAACAGTTCCTTGGTTAGTAGCTCAGGATCTGAGCAATGCAGTGGCAATAAAGGCTCACTATGACGCCTCGAATATGGCGGTTGTTGATTTGTATGAGGATTTTCTCACATTTATTGAGCAAACAAAAGTAGGAAAAACGGAAGCGGAAAGAAAACGCATCGAAAACGTCATCCTACCAGAATCAGATGTTTCTGTTCCTCTCTCTGTATTGGCTGATGTCGTGAGGAGTGTGAAAACAACATATGAAATGGAGCATTTTCCCGCTCCTCAAATTCTCTCTTGGAGAGATCAATGGAATGTTCCGAAGCTAAGCAGTCTGACGAATGATATTAGACTTTCGCAAAAGACAATGTTTGACGTCGCGTTGGATTCAAAGCATTCTGCTCTTGAAAACTGGGGACACCTGGAAGATATAGACAGCCTAGCGACAAATATACTCCCGTCTGCAGTCTTCCTGTTGTAATGGAGTTGCCTCCAATGCAGACCAAGAGGTGTGCGTAACTGGACTATGCTTGTGTCGTGTGTATCAACTAGCGTGCTTGTGTACATATGTCAANAAGAGGTGTGCGTAACTGGACTATGCTTGTGTCGTGTGTATCAACTAGCGTGCTTGTGTACATATGTCAACAATCAATTTGTGAAGGTGATGTGGCTTGTACGTGCTGTATTTCTAGTGATCGTAGTTGACGCAAGCGAGGTGACCCCAACTGTGCGGCGTGCTGAGACTCGTCTTGAACAACGGCTCTACAAGCCCCTATACAGTTTTCTCGGCGTGGCCAATGCCAACCTTCGACGCTTCCTTAATTATGCTAATGTAGAGGGTATGCCAGTGTGCTTCTGGCATTGACCTGGAAGCTAAGAAGACGAAGAGCGGCAACGAGGCGACTCACTGCCGTAGATTTTCCCTTTTTGGTGGGCCGACAGTGGCTGCTATCTTTCTGCAGGGCGAGTGCATCTTGCTGGTTCCCTTCACAGTCTGCTGTGCATGTGTTTCGCACAAGCGTGCAAACACACAAGCGCCCGGTCGGTTCTTTGGTGCCCTTGTCCACATGCTTCAGCCCGCGGCCGCCCGCAGCGTATGAACGGGGTTTGAAAAGCTTCCAATAGAGGGCTGTTGGGGTAGATGAGGTCAATTGAACCTGTTTTTCTTTATTTTTTATTTTCTCGAACTCTTTACATTGGGTGTAGGACTCACAGAACACAAATCAGGACAACAATACAAGAAATTGAGGCTCATGTCTGTACATATTTGCTGAGAAATTCACGAATGCACTGAGTTGAAACGCACCTGCAATCCCTTGCTAAACACCTAATCGAACCCATCCTGTAGCATCATGCATGGGAAGAGGCTCGTCGGGGTGTTTAGTTTCCTAATTTCAGTGGAAGGGGATGCCCACAATGTTTACGTGCAGTTCAGTCGGTCGCATGATCTATGCTAGTGTTTGAATGCCGTCTATGTGAAGTATACAGAACTGCTGAGCATACAGAAGAGTGACCCCACGCAGTACATCGAGCTAGAGGTGAATATGTAGAGGGAAACAAATCCACTATTCTGACTAAGTAGAAAGTGACCTGCCAAGCCAGCTAGAGGTTCTTCCGAGTGTGCAGGGCGCGCTCCCCAGTAGCTAGGGGAAATTCATATTACTCTAAGTGACTGTTGTAGGAGAGAATCAACTGTATGTGACTTGGTGGTTGCACCAAAAGAGTCGCACGAATTTCACAATGTGAGCCGTCAAGGAAAACCGAAAACCAGATGAGTTATCAGCGTGCACCGCGATGCACCAAAGACTTTGAGTAGAAGTTTGAGTTAGTTGAAGTGTGCTGGAGACAGAGCCGTGTACAAGGGTGCGCTCTACGCACGGTGTATTCAACAAAAGTTGAAACACCGTCGTCGATGAACTACAAAAGCATGGGGGAAACTCCCACAGGCAGGCAAAGCAGGTCGACGGAGTATACAGATGTTTCAGTGCGTTTGTTGCTCCCCCTGCCCTGAAACAAAGTTGCATGCATATTCGCGCTATCTGACAAAATTTGTTTGTCAATTGGACCTTGATGAACACTCTCTAGTCTACTTGTTTCTCATGGTGACTGACATTCGGCGCCCAGGATATGAATACGAATTTCTACACACACGGGCGCATCTGTATTTGTATGAACTAGCAATGCGAGTCCATACACGCGGGAACAATGACATTTTCACAGCAGTGAAACAACTGTTGTGAACATGAAGATGAACAACAGCACAGCATATCAGAAGGACGGGGAAGCCTGCAGGCCAGGCGGCTGCGCCCTCGTTGATATATATATATATCATTGCAGCAGGCACAAAAACATGATGGAGAAATATTACGTTTCCGCGCCCTCATTGTTCCGTGTAAAACTCGTTTAGAATGAGTGCGCGAACTACGAAGAAGAAGCATTCATACTACAAAAGAGNTGTTCCGTGTAAAACTCGTTTAGAATGAGTGCGCGAACTACGAAGAAGAAGCATTCATACTACAAAAGAGACACTGCAATTGTGAATGGATGCATTAGGCGCAAGCGAACAGCTTTGTCTTGAGCCCAACCAGCGAGAGCAGAAGCCCTCTCCTTTTGCTGAAGCGAACAGCTGCCTTCAATTGCGCCTTTTATATGATAAATAATACCCTGTAAGCCGGGTACATTCCACTGCTCTTGCCAACCAAGTATCTTCGCGGGAGAAAGGCTTCGTAGCTCTTCTCTCTCTACGCTGGAATTCACAGCCTCAGCCAGACGGGTAAAGGGAAACGGAATTTCTAGTGCAGGCATGGTGAGGTTTTCTACGCGTTTCTTCTCGCTAGTGCTCCGCCAGAACTTGGCCCGCTCCACGAAACCAAGCAGTTCTTGAAATATTTCAGAAACTTTCTGATCACTCGACTCGATGATCTTTTGTATGCTGACCATATTCGTCAATCGCTCGACCAACATTTCGGGGG